TGCAGTGGCGGTGTTGACAAATTTAAGACAATAATTAGCTTCTATACATGCAAAAGTATATATATTTTTTTAATTTTCCATGTACAGAAGCTAATTATTGGGGTGTCATCTTAAATTCAGGGTAATCTAGCATTAAAACAAGAGAGAGAGAGAAGTATTTATACAGACCTCAGTTCTACAAAAGATATACAAATGTGTAACTATCTATACAAGTATAGTTCCTTTGGTCACATCCATATGAGCAGAGGTGTGCATTTGTAGCCACACAAATAGTAGTGGCACAAATTTGTGCCGCTGCTTTGTACCCAAATGCACACCCCTGCCCGTGCGTTTTGCAGCAAGACACATTGTCCCACTGCTCCATGTACTACGAAGGGGAGCTGACATGGGGCACAGTGGAGACAGGGGAGCAGTCAGCCCAGGGCTACCTGGTTCCATGTTTTGAGGCACACTGTGCCCCATCCAGCCAAGAACCAACTGGCTGGGGCACAGGGTGCCTCAGCGTGGGGTCTCTGCAGCACTTGTTCCAGTGCAGGCCACTTTGACATGCTTTGCACCACTTTTTTCTTCTGGGGATTTTTTTGCTACTGGGAAATCCTGGTAGCAAATTTTGCCCCAGGACTGCAAATTAGCAGCACCGTGCACAGTTTAACATGCAACGCGTATGGTTTGTGGCGCCGCAAAGAAGTCTGCAGTGCCACAAACCACATGTGCCTGCACATCTGGATCTGATCACTGAGTTCAACACAAAAGCTAGAAACTTATCCCTTTCAAATTTTTCTATCTAGCTATAAATTATGGATATATTTCTGCAGCTGCATAAATGTCCTAACCATATTGACACACATATTTTAGGATTTTTTTAAAATTTAGTATGCAGAGCCTGGGGCTCCCCACAGGTCCAGAAATTTAGCAGCAGGTGGCACTATTCCACTATTGCCAAATTTTTGGACCTGTTGGGAGCCCAGTAGGCCAGATCTGGCCTCTGGGTCAGGGGTTAAACACCCCTGATCTAACTGATGGTCCAATGCTCCCCTTGTTGAAGCCAAATTCCCAGCGACTTTGATGGGAGAACATTCATTTCTGAAATAGTATCATTTTATGCATGAACTTGCAAATGTATTACCAATCATTTTAATTATGAAAATCTACTTGCACTTAAGACTCAATTACACTTTCCAAATTAATTTCCCATTTATTTTCTGATGTTTAAACAAACAAACAAAAAAAACCTTTTAAATTTCTATTAACCCCGCATGTGTTCGTGCTTCCTGATTCTAACCCACGCCCAAACTGGAATTATAGACAAGAAAAAAGAAAAGGAAATAAAAAACACCCCTGTTGTTTGGAGACTTTCACACTAATAAATCTGAGCAAAGATAAATCATTCAAAAACAGAGAAACATCTAAACTTTTCATGCTGCTTTTCTACTTCACACGGCAAAAGTCTCAACTGTCTGTACCTTTAAATGTGTGTTTATTATCAGAGCACGATTAGTCTGAGTTAGCTATTTGTTGCCAATGCGAGTAAACAAGTCTGTGATCATTACTATATTACTCAGCCGCTATTTTTATAACCACCCTTAATCCTTTACCTGCTTCTGGTAAAGCAAGTGAATATTTAGCAAGAGTTGTTCTGAAAAGGTGCCATAAAGACAACTGGAAAATGTCAAAGTGAACGCCCAGAAGCAGTTACAGTAATGAGAAGACTTTATTCTGACAAGATATTAAGAATTAAAGCAAAATCTTTTGAAATGGGTTACATCCTAGTTCAATGTACGTGCATGATGACATTTATACATAGTTTGCAATTCTACTTTGTCTGTTGTGAAACAATCACCTTGGAGCCCTGTGCATACACCTGCCAGAAGTAAGGAGGAATACGCTTTCTAAGGACTCTCCCTTGTGTTAGTCCAGTAACCTAGAGGTCAGAGCACTCACCCAGGAATTGAAAGATCCAGGCTCTAGGCCAGCATCAGAGGGGGTTTTAACTTACATATTCTGCTTCCCAACCTAGCATTTTAATTACTCAGCCACTCGGCCCCTTTCTAGCCCTCCTCTTGAAGCTGAACACTGCACTTTGCATTTAATCCTCACTGGATAAAATAGATGGAGAGCTGTAGAAGTCTGCCCTACTGTGAGCAAGGGGTCAAGCTAAAACCCCAGGGCCCCACACTTCTCCCACTCTTGGCTGCCTAGAGGGCCAGTTTCCTCCTCCTCCCTTCTCCAGTGTTTAATACCCATTGCTAGTCCTGGGGTTTTATTTGGTTAAAATTTCAGGATTTACACATGTGCATGACAAAATGTATGGCTCTGGATTCCAGCCTGGTCTGAGTGAAGTGCTACTAAATGTGCTCAGAAGTCATGTGGATGCTTTCAAGTCCATACTGCACCTGAAATAGGGCTGCAAAGTGTATGTAAATGCCCAAACTGGAACTTCTGTGGCTAACCAAGTGCAGCTGGGTGTGTACAGTGAAATTGGACCTAGCACTTTAACTTCACCTTTCGAATGATGTTTAGATATTTAACTAGCTTCCTATCAATGTTTTTAATAAGTAACTGGGTTTTGGCAAAGAAATCAGTTTATCTGTGTCTCAGACGGCCAGAGCCGACTCGAGGTGATTTAGAAATTGCTCGTTCATCAGGGTGGGCTGGTGAATGGAGAGGCAGACAAGGTTTAATGGTTGCAAAAACGTTTACTTACGTCGCGTGGAGTTGCGACGCAGCTGGTCCGGTCGTCTGAACAACCACATGAGTTGTTCCAGCTGGCGGGGCCCAAGCCAGTGAATCCGTCCGTAAATCAAGCCGGTGGGAAAAGGGTACGTCTGGGATTGCGCTCGGCGACGGGAAGAAAGATCGATAGGTGATCAGGCTAACGATCAGCGA